TTAGCTCACCGCACAACCTAAAGTCCGAAGCCTATCACTTAGATTCTTAAGGTCCCTTAAGGGTCTCAAACCACACTTAGCCAATTAGAAAGTCTAGACTTAACTCTTCCTAGGCTCAAACCTAGGCTCTGATACCAACTGTAACACCCCCTAAAAACATGCTATAAAAAGCCTTAAAACATGCAGATAACGAAACTAAACATTCAACACAGCGGAAGTCTGAACGATAGATAGATAGGTAAAGTCTGAAACACAGGGTGTTATGCCACGTTCACCATAAGGATGAACGCACAGGCAATATCTGCAATGTTCACAACAAATCCCATAAGTTCAAAGTTCTACATCTACACTGGCTCACAGGCCACAAAACGAGAGGGGAAAATCTATTCTAGCAAGTACTAGACCTCGCGCTCATCCAGACATCACCTGAAAAAACACAATAAAACATGGGACGACACCCGGTCAGCGAATAATGCTGGTAAGCCACCAATACATGTGAAATATCATACATAGTAAGATATACATTGTAAAGCCATTTTTGAAACAGAATACATATATATAAGTGCAAAAACCACGAGTAATAGTCAACACAAGACTCAACACTCTTAACAATAACACGGGAACACATCCCAAGACCACAAGAAACAACATGACTCACAAGAAGAGTCAAGGCATGATCTATCATCACTCAATAGATCAAAACCCGGCAAGCACAACGCAAAGGAATAAGACACACCCAATGGCAACAAATGCCTTTGTGACTACACACGTCACATGAAGAGAACTCACAACAACGGCTACACAAGCCCTCGTGACATCACCCATCACGAGTTGATATGCCTTCGTTATGCCCAGTTCCAACCTTGTGGCTACCCCCAACCTTATTTCATCTTCCAACCATTACCTCTAGGAACCCTGTACAACCAAGTCCAACATTTTCCCTCTGAGGACCGTCGTCCCCATTCGCCAACGACCGCCAACGAGACCACCAATTTCATAGTACACGAGGGTACCGATCACACACACGGCAACACATGCCTTCCCAAGAAAATACGTGAACCTGACACACAGGTCACAACTCCATAATCACGTCACGACCACCACGAGGACCGCTGCAATACCTTGGTGACTAGTGTCCCATACCACTAATCGTGCAATCCAAGTAAAGCCACGCACACATCACACCTCAACAGGAATCAATCAACGGATCACAACGAAGATATGAAACCATACTCAATCAAGGAATGGATCACAGTCCAACAACAACAACGATGAATAACACAAGTTATCATCAACCCATAAGAAGGTACGAACAACACACACGCTAGCATTAAACACCGAACTAGCATGCTTATCAAACGGGTAAACCAAACGTAGTTCCGAGGAACACACAAGACTCATCACGGTTCAACGAAACACAATGTTGAACACTTAGCACGATTCAAGACACCAAAACCTACATGGATACCTACCATATAGTTCTAGACATACGAAACATCAAGAAGACACTCAAATAGTTCCACAAAAGAACATCGGGAAGTCAAAAGACCAAATACCGAGTCAAAAGAATCACGGGGAACAAATCCCCGCCATCACCACAATATGTACTTGCGGGTAGGCCCACAAGTAGGCCTCTACCCGCGGTTCCGCCAGCGGCTACAGGCTGCCCGGCCATTGTACCCCGCGAGTGGGCGGAGGGTTGGACCCCTACCCGCTGTTCCGCCCGCGGGTACAACCCTGTACCTCAAAATATCCCTTCGGGGATTTTCAACTCCATGCTCAAATTCATGTCCAAAACATGCCAAATCTCACCAAATACAACAAAATGACTTGAATCAAAGGTAATGCAAAGCAATGGCACAAATTCCCAAATATAAGAAATGTTGAATCTTGGAAGCAACTCTTGAAGTCTTGGCAAGGCTCCAACTTGGGCTTGGAAAAAAAGCTACTCACCTTTTTAGAGAGAAGGTGGAGCTAGATTTTTAGAAAGTGTAAGGATAGAATGAAGATGGTCTACTAGGTTAGGTTACAATACTAACACCATGTGAAAGGTCAAGAATGCCCTTACTAACATTAGGAAGTGTAAGGATCAAGGGAACTCCTTACAAAGCTCAAGGTACAACTTTGACTTTGGGGTTGACTAGTCAATTATTAGTCCCCAAGTATTGAATTTTCAGGATTTTAGGAATTAATTCACTAATTGAAGTAGGATTAATTACTCAATTAATCCGTTAATTGAATTTGGATTTTGGGGTGTCACACATACTTCTAGAATTCTAGAACAACTTCACATGGACCTATTTGGACCTACTCAAACGGAAAACATAGGAGGAAAGAGATATGTCTATGTGACAGTTGATGATTACTCACGATTCACATGGGTAAACTTCCTTAAAGAAAAATCTGAGGCATTCACAACCTTCAAAACACTCATCATCAAAATGAAAAATGAAAACGATGGAAGAATAGGGAAAATCACCCGTTTAAGAAGTGATCATGGTAGAGAATTCGAGAACACAAAGTTCAAAGACTACTGCATGGAAAATGGAATTCATCATGAGTTTTCCGCCCCAAAAACACCTCAACAGAATGGGGTAGTCGAACGAAAGAATCGTACCATCCAAGAAATGGCAAGGGTTCTTTTAAATCACAAAAGATTACCATCAAAGTTTTGAGCTGAAGCAGTAAACACCGAATGTTTCCTAACAAACCGAGTATTCATACGAAAGGAAACCAATATGACACCCTACCAAATCTGGAAGGGAAAGACACCAAACCTAAAACATACACATGTCTTTGGCAGCAAATGTTATATATTAAAAGATAGAGAGCCTTTGGGAAAGTTTGACATCAAAGGAGATGAGGGATATTCCTAGGACACTCCTCAAACAGCAGGGCCTATCGAGTATTCAATCTCAGAACAGACAGTGTCATGGAATCCATAAATGTTGTTATCAATGACACAACGTCAGAAAATCCCACCACCGATGATGAAGAATCAACCGTTGTTGAAACAACAGTTCCAACACCACTGGAATAGAAAACTGAAACAGAAACAACACAGAATGAAGAAACAAAGGATACTGAGAAAATTGAGGAAAGTCACACTACAAATGACACAAGGATTCAGAAAAATCACCCAGTAGAAAACATTATAGGTGGACTTAATGAAGGGATCAAAACCAGAGGAAAGAAACGAGATTATCAAAAAATGGAAGAAGGAGACTATTGCTACACCTCCAAAATAGAGCCCAAAAACATCACTGAAGCCTTAAAAGATGAATTTTAGGTGGAGGCTATGCAAGAAGAATTACAACAATTTGAAAGAAACAACGTCTGGGAATTAGTTCCCAAACCAGAAAACGCCAACATCATCGGGACAAAATGGATCTACAAGAATAAAACTGATGAACAAGGAAACATAACAAGAAACAAAGCCCGACTAGTAGCACAAGGATACACACAAATTGAAGGGACAGACTTCGAGGAAACCTTTGCCCCTGTAGCCCGAATTGAATCAATTCATCTCCTTATAGCAGTGGCTTGCATACTCGAGATAAAACTCTATCAAATGGACGTGAAAACGGCGTTTTTAAATGGAAATCTAAAAGAAGAAGTCTATGTTGCTCAACCAAAAGGATTTGAGGACCCTCATTTTCCACAAAGTGTATTTAAACTCAACAAAGCACTATATGGGCTAAAACAAGCACCACGAGCTTGGTACGAACGTCTCACTGAATTCCTAGTCAAAAAGGGTTACAAAAGAGGTAGTGTGGACAAAACCCTATTCATCAAACACTATGGCCAAGACATTGTTATTGCCCAAATCTATGTTGATGACATAGTTTTTGTCTCAACACTTGAACACCACAAAAACCAATTCATCACTAACATGGAAGGAGAATTTGAGATGAGCATGGTTGGTGAACTAACCTACTTCCTAGGTCTACAAATCAAACAACAAGACCGTGGGATCTTCATATCACAAAGCAAATATGCAAAGAATCTAGTTAAGAGATTTGGACTAGAAGAAAGCAAAGTTGTCAGAACACCAGTTCCAACAACAGAAAGAATCTCAAAAAACATTGAAGGAAAACAAATTGTGCAAACCCTATATCGAAGCATGATAGGAGGTCTACTATATCTAATTGCTAGTAGACCAGATCTAAGCTTTGGAGTAGGGATATGCGCAAGATATCAAGCGAATCCTACTGAACATCATCTAAAAGCGGTAAAAAGAATCATTAAATATGTTAAAGGAACCACCGAATTAGGAATATGGTACTCTTTCGATACCAATCATCACCTATCAGCCTATTGCGATGCTGATTGGGCAGGAAACATCGATGACAGAAAAAGCACCTCAGGAGGATGTTTTTTCCTAGGAACAAATTTAGTATCTTGGATAAGCAAAAAACAAAATTCTATATCATTATCAACAGCAGAGGCGGAATACATTGCAGCCGGAAGCTGTTGCACACAACTACTTTGGATGAAACAGATGTTAGAAGATTATGGAATACATCAAACAACTATGACCATACATTGTGATAACAAAACTGCAATAGACATCTCCAAAAATCCAGTGCAACACTCTAGAACAAAACACATCGACATCAGGCATCATTTTATAAGGGAACTAGTAGAAAATGAAATCATCAATCTCACACATATCAATACAGAAAATCAACTTGCAGATATACTAACAAAGGCACTTGATGGAAATAGATATGCAAAATTAAGAGCAGAAATAGGACTGTGTACTTTATGAACAAAATACTTGGGTCGGTTTCATTATTTAAAAAAAAAAAAACAAAAAAAAAGAGCCATAACTTAGCATGATCCATATACCGTGAAGTGTCAAGGGGCCCATAACCCAGCTAACAATAAAAGCCCATAACCCGGTCCACTTCAGATAAATCCCTAAATTAAATAATCGTGGGTATCCGATTAAGTCTTCTCACCCACGATCATCTCCCACACTTCACAACAGAGAAACAATGGTGAAGAAGAGAAATCAAAGAAAAGGAAAAATACCTCGGAGAGGAACCACACCACAGTACGCCGTCTCCGGAGTTCCATCGAATCCAGTATGCATCGAAGAAGAAGATCTCACCACCATCATCATGGACCAGGTCCCCATCTCGCAAGTTCCATTTGAAGAGGTTCAAGAACATCAAAACCCTAACCCAGGTAATCTTACAGATGAATTACATGGAGATTTTACAATTTGCCTACCCACTATAAATGAAACTGGGGACAACACTAATTGTACCCAAGTAGAGGAAGAACACCCCATGGTCGGAGTTGTTGAACCATCATCTCCACCTCCTCTGTCCGACAGAGAACAGAGAAAAAGAAGAAAGTCTGACCCCTATGAAGGGGCAGATCCGAGAGCAAAAAGACCCAACGATTTCCCTATCTCTGCTAGACCCCCTCGAATAACTCCTAATATACCTCCCCCAAAGCAGAATAATCCCAAGAAACAAAAAGAAAAAATTACAGAAGAGGAACAAGATTGGGTTCCCGAAGACTTAAGCGAAGCCTCTGTTTGTGATAAAGCTCATCCAGAAAAGAAGAAAAAGAAATTAGGTATTAAGGAAAAAGGAAAACAGAAAGTAGTTAGTGATGCTGACCTGTCAAAACTACCCAAGCCCTATAGTCCAAAATTTCTGTCTAAAGAAAATTCCAAAACATGGAAAAAAATTCTTGGAGAAAAAGGTCATCAGTCAAAAGCTCCTAATACTAGACAGGCTGGAAAATTGTGAACAAATCACTGAGGTTCTAACAAAGAACCAACTCTCAGGATCAGTTATCAATATTGATCCTTATGAAGAACAGGCTGTCAAAGAATTTTACTGCAACCTCACCAAAGACTCATCATCTCCTAGCAACCCTATGTATGGAAAGGCATATCTAAGAGGGAAATTCTATGAATTCAATCCAGAAATCATCAATAATCACCTAGGAACAACCAGTGAAGAACAAGGTGTTCAAATAGAAAGTGAACAGGTTATTCAAGAGCTTACAACTGGAAATGTGAGTTTTGATAAAAACAAAATCAAGGCTGCCTCATTAACAAGCAAGTATGCTATACTACAGAAAATTGCCCTTGTGAATTGGATGCCCTCTCTGCATGAAACAACAGTTAAGTGGAGTCTAGCAGAACTACTGTACAAAATAGGGAAGGGAATCAAAGTTAACATTGGAGACATTATGTACTCACAGATTACAAACTTGACAGAAAGTAGTGAGTCAAAGGCTTCCCTCAGTTTCCCTAATCTGATCTACTCTATTCTATCCAAACAAGGACTGAAATCACATGGACCGAAGACACAAGTCAAGACCATAAACACAACCATGAAGCTGAAAAAAGGGGGACACCAAAATGATCTCAAAGCCTCTATCCCAACTGAAGATCCAACAGATCAGAAAACCCTACTAAAATACTTCGAGAAAAGACTGAATGAATTGGAAAATTCAGAGAAACAGATTCTAAGGAAACATATGGAAATCAAGGAGGAAAAAGCAGAAGTCCTACAATGGCTACAAGCTCTCAAACCAGACAATAGAGAAGAGGAAGATAAAACAGAAGAAACTCAGAAGAATGACCAAGAAGGAAGTGATAAACATGATGATAGCTCAGAAGAAGAAAGTCAGAAGAATAATCAGGAAGAAGATGTTGAAACAACTGTTTCAACATCCCCTGTATAATTTTAGCAAAAAAGGGGGAGAAGGAGAAAAGGAGAAACAGGCAGACAGCAGGAGAAAGGAAACAGGCAGACAGCAGGAGAAAGCAGCTGGGAGGGAAGCACCTATATTTTTTTTGAAAAACTATCATGAAGTATCTAGCCTCTTTTTGCATGATTATGTCTCAAGAAATTAAACTGTTTGTAAACTGCTAATGCTCACTTTATGGCTGTCCTAGTAACAAGCAGAAGTAAAAATGCATTCTCTCTTGATACTTTTCTATCAACAAGAAGAACAGAGAACAAACAAAGGGGGAGTCATTTCAAGGAAAGCTAACTGGGGCATTCTCTCTTAATATTGCTTGTCATCAACAAAAACAGAGAACAAATTAAGGGGGAGATATCTCAGAAATTAAGTTCTTCTGAAGATCAAGGTTTTTGCAAAAAATTGACAAAGGGGGAGAATGTTGACTTTTAATGAATTGTCAAAGATCATGTGCAAAAATCATTCCCTAATCTCAGAAGATTTCAAGATACTTATTCCTGTTAGAATTAGGATTAATAAACCTATTCACAATCAAAGAAAGGATCTAATCCTATAAAAGAAGCCTCTCTCAATCACATGTATTCATGCTTTCAATATCTAATTATGAGTCACGAGAGTCGTTGAGAAGAGATACCCAAATCCCCTTGAAAAGTAGTACAAGTGTTTAGGTCACAATAGTCTGATAGGAAAAGATCATCATATTGTGTAATCCCCGTTCCCTAAACAGTGTACTTTGAATATTAAGCTTTTAGTGGATTTAGGCAAATTCTCAACTTGAGAAGTGCCTCGCAGATTAGGATTGTTTGCCCGAACTGCGTTATAAATTGATTGTGTCACAACGTCAGTTTTAACATTACTGTGTGCATCGCTTATATAAATTTCACTTTCAACTAAGGTGTGAGACCTTAAAAGTGAGGAAATTTCGCCTTTGTAATCCTATACTTTCTTGCTGATGGACCTAATTAATCTTGCTTAAGTTTCAAAGAACCTTCTTCCCTGTGCTATATATACTATCGGTTCAACAATTTAAGTGGGTCATATTTCATTACCAGCAATAGTGATTCTAATTTCTAAGCTAACCTTTTGACAATATAACTAACAAGAAAAACTGTCAGTTTGCAATGATATATATGTTTTATGTTTTTCTTAACCCATAAGACTTATTACCGCGATAGGGTCATCCTTAACACCAAACATGTGGAAACAAATACGATAAAATAAAATAAAGTTTAAAAAAATAAAAACAAATAGAAACCAAGTGTTTAAATTTGATTATATGTAAAATGCATCCTTAATATATAACAGATAAATTTCTTGATGCCAGACATGACTTCAAAAAAGAATAAATTAAAAAGAATAAATTCCGTCGCCATTCCGTCGCGAAACGCGATTCGCGACGGAATATTGCCATTTCCCGACGGAATTTTTCCGTCGCGATTCGCGATTTTTCTTGTAGTGTAGTGTATGAAAATTACTCATATTCCGTTTTACCCCATAATATTTACTATTTATTTATCAAATTAACTCTTTCTTCTTTATTTATTTTCTTTAATATTTGAACTTAGTTTTTTTTTTTAATTTTTAAATTTAATAGTACTTTTAATGAATTCTGTGAATATATAAATTTTAGAACAAATTTTACTTTTAGTCATCGACTATAGTGACATTATCACATTTAATTATGTTCTTTTAATTTTGTCACATTACGCCTTTGACTTTCATTACATTATTGTGTGGACCATGGTTCACATAGTGTTGTATGGATCATAAAAGAAATTACATTTTTAATACACTATAAGAGTACATTCTTTGTGTACTGAATGTACATTATATAAAGTAATGTACTTTAGTATTCAAATAATGTACTTTCCCCGAATACATAGTACATTTTTAATATACTTAAAGTACATTATTTGTGTATTAAATATACATTATTTTATAGTATACAAAATATGGTCCACACAATAATGATTGAGTGATAGGTCAATCAATCATTATTCCATGGACTAGCTGTGTGGACTATACGTAAAAAATACATTTTTAATATATTTAAAGTACTTTATTTGTGTATGTAAAGTTATTATTTCATACATTTTTAATATATTTAAAGTACTTTATTTGTGTATGTAAAGTAATTATTTGAGTAATGAAAGTATATTATTTTGTAAACTATCAAATAATGTATATTCGATATACAAATGAGTTACTAACTTATTGATTAACTATCAAATAATATATATTCGATATACAAATGAGTTAATAATATATTCATCCAAAACATGTATATTCACTAGTGAAAAATAATGTGCATGCCATAATTACTACTAATTGATCCAAAACACACAAAAAATGACTTAAAGCAAAGCAAAGAAAACAAAGGTAGTATGGAATATGGGCAGATTCTGGTGAATATTCTTCAATTCCACAATCCTAAGAGTTGATCATAGTGCAAGAGAAAAGAAAGGACATGCATTACAAACACCACTAAGATCGAACTAACGAGGAAGTACATTTGTACCATATATAATTGCCTTGCCATTATTTTTTTATTAGTGATAGCGATGTTCATTTATATATTATATATTTTGTTATAATAATAATAATAATAATAATAATAATAATAATAATAATAATAATATTATTATTATTATTATTATTATTATTATTATTATTAGTAATATTAAACCAAGTAGTTAGTTAATTGGTTAAAAATAATGGGAGTAATTATAGGTGCAGTACATGGCCATGATGTTAGCTTTACATGGAGCATTAATTCCTTAATTTTAGCATTTGAGTTATCTTATCTAGTATAAATTGTCTTTGTATTCAAGCTTTTATTATCAATCAAGTTATCTATTCCCCCCTCTCTCTCTCTCTCCTCAATATATATAAATATAATATATATACATATTATATTTAATATATATTATAGATATATTACATTATATTTAATATATATTATATTTAATATATCTAACATTTGGTATCAGAGCCAGTCAACCTTTCAACCCCGAGATATTGTTCATAGTGAAATATGGCTGCAAATTTCAATATTGTATGGACGGGTCCCAAATTGGACGGGAAACTCGATTACAATTATTGGCAAATTATGATGTCCACACATTTGCAAGCTCAAAATCTTTGGAGCTTTGTTGATCCCGGTCTACCCGAAGGAGCTGATGCAGCCGCTATACGGCGAGATAAATTGGCCTTGGGTCAGATTCACCAAGGTGTTCATTATTCTATTTTGGGGCAATTAGCTCGTGCTCAAACAGCAAAACAAGCTTGGGACATCTTAAAGGTGTCAAACAAAGGAGTCGATCGGGCACAGAAGTATAAGTTGCAGTCGTTGAGAAGGTTGTACGATAATTGTGAGATGACCTCTACAGAAACAGTAGATGCGTATTTCTCTCGTCTTATTGATATGGTGAATAAGATGAGGCTATATGGAGATACGATTGAAGATGGTGCAGTGGTTGAAAAAGTTCTTCGAACTATGCCGATGAAGTATGACCATGTGGTGGCTTCGATCACAGAGTCACACAAAACTGAGCTCTTATCAATTGCAGAGCTGAAAGGTATGGTAGAAAGTCATATTGACAGGATTGCGTCAAAATCGGAACCACTAGCAGAAGAAGCTTTGAAGAGTCAAGTCACCCTTAATGTGACTGGCACTAATCAAAGAGGTGGAGGATCTGGTAGAGGTCGTGGAAGAGGAAGAGGAGGTTTTGGTGGAAGAGGTCGTGGTAACTTCAACCAAGGAGGAGGACGTGGTAACTCCAACCAAGGAAGAGGTGGAGGTAATACCAAACAAGGTAAATTTCCATTTCATTGCTACAATTGTGGCAAGTATGGGCACAAGATTGCGGATTGTTGGTATAATGAGGACAACAATCGTGGAAATCAAGCAAACATTGCTGAAAAGTCTGGTGAGAGTTCTGAAACTTTACTCTTAGCCAGCGATAGTTTTTCTGCAGATAAGAACATATGGTTCTTGGATACTGGGTGTAGTAACCATATGTGTGGGAAGAAAGAATTATTTTCCGAACTAGATGAATCAGTCCGGTCTGAAGTAACGTTTGGCAATAAGTCAAAGGTGCCAATTTTGGGAAAAGGTAAAATCTCTATTCAATTGAAGGATGGTACTCACAATTTTATATCCGATGTGTTCTATGTTCCTGAACTACACCAAAATTTGTTGAGTTTGGGTCAGTTGTCAGAAAAAGGATATAAGATACATATTGCTCAAGGGTGTTGTACCATTGAAGATGCTAAAGGAGTTTTGATTGCAAAGGTAAATATGTCCCAAAATCGACTATTTCCTTTGACAATTAAGCATACTCTCCTTGATTGCTTTAATTCTGAAGTTTGTGATGATAATTGGTTATGGCATATGCGGTGCATTTCCATTTCTCTGGGTTAAACTATCTCGCGAGAAAGGAACTTGTTTCTGATTTACCTGTTGTGAATGTCCCTGATCGTATCTGTGAGATTTGTGTGATTGGGAAGAAGCATAGAGATCCCTTTCCTGTGGGCAAGTAAAGGAGAGCTACAAAACAGTTGGAGATTATTCACTCAGACCTATGTTCATTGGAGGTTCCCTCACATGGAGGTTGTAAGTACTTTATTACTTTCATTGATGATTTCAGTAGAAAAACATGGGTTTACTTTCTGAAGCAAAAGTCTGAAGCATGTGATGTTTTCAAACAATTTAAGGCTTTTGTTGAAAAGCAAAGTGGTTATGAAATTAAAATCTTGAGAACTGATAGAGGTACAGAATATATTGCCTGTGATGATTTTCTGAAGAAGAAGGGTATTCAACATCAGATGACAGCTAGATACACTCCACAACAAAATGGAGTAGCTGAGAGGAAGAATAGGCCTATCATGGATATGGTAAGGTGCATGTTGAAATCTAAGGATCTGCCTAAACCTTTTTGGGCGGAAGCTGTTGCTTGTGCTGTCTATGTGTTGAATAG